TGTATAAGAGACAGTATATATATAGGCCTATATACCGGTATATGAACTTGATGCATTCTCACAGATATCATATTGACGAATTCGGGTTCAGTAGATGATGTTTCACTCTTGTAACGCAATATGCGTTTGTCAATGTTAATGTTGTAGGCGATCATGGTATAGTATTCACTGTTAATGTATAGCCTTTCCACCGTTAAATGACATTTTCAAATCGTACATTGTTTTGCAGCATTTCTGACTCTTAACTATTAAACAGAGCAGAGTATAAGCTATACTCGAATAAGCCACAATGCTTTGCATATTAAATACATATATATTCCTACAATGAAACATTTACATTTCAATTTCCCTTAATATAATTACTATTGATACGCAAAGTTCAGGCAGGAAAGATTTGAACATACATACTCGATTTCTTTTTGTTAATGAAATAAAAACATCCAAAATAGGCATTTATATAAAAAAATACTGCTGGAAATCGTACTTACGGATTTCGTAGCTGAAGGTGTACGGGACAAGAAGAGGTAATAAGAGCATGTACACGGGCAACAGCCAACTCGGTGGGTTCATCGTCGGTATTTTGAAATCCACAAGATATTAGAATCAACCATTCTTGGATTGTGAAATACGTAACGATGAACGAGCGTAGACCTAAGAACGAGAAGATTAATGTTCATCGATGATGAAGACAATGAAGACGAAGAGAACGGCGATGCGATGGAGGCTGGCTGGCCGCTCTCGTCGCGGTTGTTGTCGTACTCCTCTTTTTATCTCGCGTCTTATACTCATCCAAACATCAAGTATCGGTGCTTGTTCGCATCTTGTAGCACTTACATATCGATACACCACAAGTTGCTTAGGTCGACACTATTTCATCGATCGGTCATCGAATAGTCAAGGGAATAAACCTTTATTCCGCACTAATTCTGTATACGTATATGCGTGTCTGTGGGTTGTTTACATATCGCTTGTATGATACGCTTCATTGGATTTACAGCGCAAGTTCGGATGTACCACTAAAAAGATCTCGAGAAATGAGCCAACACTTTCCGCGGTGGGATGATTGTGATCAATGTTTTTTTCAACAGGGGAGGCGTTTCCAATCTCGTCAGATTATCGATCCACCAGCAGCCTTCGGTTAGGCTTCTAACACTAATTCGTCAATGTAATTTCGGAAATCGAGACTTGCTTTCGTGGCTATATAACAGTCAATCCCAGGTCATAGAATCACACAATATTATATATACCGGTACGCCATGTCACTTCAATTAATCATAAATAATATTTGAAATGTAACGAATGCTATTAGAATTATTTATCACACGTTGCGTTTAGACAGACTGTGATATATTTTACTTGACAGAGCGGAGCAACTGTAATGATATGTAAAAATGCATTTACTGTATTTTCGAAGAGTTTTTATGAAGGATCCAATGAAAATGGCCTTCAAATTGAGGATCCGTCGTTTATAGAAATTTGAAAGTTTAGGTAAATCTGTCGCCCTCTCTTAATGTGAAAAACTTTGAGCCACTGTTTGATAATTTGCGGCTGTGTTATCTTTTCCAAAAAGTTGTTATCCACAGCGCCTCCTATAAAAGTGACTGAACATGAACCATGCGTTTAAAACGCACGCAAATGCGTCAGAAGTTTCAATTTTACTTCCACAGTAAATAAGAATTATTATGTTGGAACAAAAGATTTAAAATTGTCTACATTATACCAACCATAGATGAATTATCATCAACATATCGAATCCCTTTGACGCAAAAACTAGCGCTTTGAGACGATCGTGTCGGCTGTAGTCGACTTATTGAAATATACATGTCTGAGAAATTTGATTCAATACTCTAAATTGCCAACAGAATCTTAATATACGGTAGGCATCCTGCACGAATCTATGTATCTAAAAACGTAATGTGCTGCGCATAGTAATCATTGACATATAATAAATCACTGAAAGTGGACCGTGAAGCTAATTAACGAAAACAATGAATGAAATCGAGGAGCTTAAGATGTTGTGATGTCTGAATGCGCAAGGCGTGTAACATGCCCAACAGGCCTAGGTCTACATTAAGTGATGTTACATCGGCTACTTGATCTCCTACTTGCCGCGGCTTTATTAAACATTAACGGATTCAATTCTCTGTCAGGTTGCTGTGTGCATTCATGATGAGATGTGTCATGTAAAATTACGTTTTCATATTGTGTTTTAGCGACGCAATACCTCATCACAAAGTATGTCGCATATATCGACAGGCAACTTGTCTTTGAGATGATCTCATTGGGCGATCCATTCCCGAACAAAACGAAAACGTTCTGGAAAGAAGACGAGTGGAACATGTCACGTGATCGCAATTAAGATTTTTCGTGCCAATTAAATTCATAATGATTTCTAAAGCAATCATGAATGATGGTCACTTAACCAATAACTTACGGTCGCTAATTAAATCGATATAATTTAACGTATGCTTAATTTTTAATTTCACCTGCGTGCTTCTATGCCAACCATGTGCCTACGCGCATCTTCACGTATTGCAGTGAACGTCCATCTATTTTGACGTTCCAAAAAAAAAAAAGAAGTCATATATCATTCTGCAAACCAAATCACAGACTTCATAGTGTTGATATTCTAACCAATTAACCGAAATTAAATTTATGAGATTCAGTTCCTAGCCTGTAAACGTTTTAGTATCAACATGACGCCAGAGTGCAGAAACACAATAAATTAGTTGACTCAAAAAGAGATGAATTTTTCTCCAAATGGATTCTTTAATGAGATATACTATTTTAAAGTCGTAGAAAGTACTTCTATTTTAGGAATTCAAGGGGTCTAGAGGCGATTCTCCAATAGCGTTTATACTTCTTAGTTAATTATATGTATATAATAGGCTTTTAAAAACATTGAGTTTCCTCAGAACAACCCTATCAATCATACTACATCGTACAACATGAATTCGGTGAGTTATTATTTTAATGAACTCTCTTTCAAATTATTTATTTATTCAACAAATACCGTTATTAATTCACAGGAATAGCCCTAACACCAATACTGAATTAGAGGGGCAGTTAAAGTAAGAATGAAAACAACCAGATGACAAGAAACACAAAATAAATTAAGAATAATCATAACCCAAAACCCCATAAAAAAAAATCATACCCCTGCAGAATGCTTTAAGACCTGCTCTCTACGATGCTTCATCTATCTGGTACCGGCACAAACCCTATCTCTGGCAAAACAACCGAAGGACACTGATGGCGCTATAACAATGTACGTTACTTTTATTTTTATCTGGACATGCATTCAATTTTCCAAACTATGAATTACAAGTAGTGTTATACTGACGTTTATATTACATTATTTTGATTTTTTAAACAGTCACAAAGGAAAATACCGTACAATAATATTTTCTTGTTATAGGAACAAAACTATATCTTTGTTGATCCCAACGTGACAAAACATTATGACCTACAAACAGTGCTTGGAAAATTTGAGTTGATTAGTGTTTTCAATAAAGTAATTCCATAATTTAGGCCAGAACAGTATTAGTTAAAATCTGTCTGACATAAAACATAAAATAACAAATATTCAGTTTTTGTAAGTTTTATGTTTGAAAGGTTAATTGCAAATTTTAAATATGATAAAATTCCTATTAGATAAAGTAGGAATGAAACTGAAATCCTCCACGACATTATATTAACCAATATTTATGCACAATGAGTTAAGAAAGTTACAAAATTGTTGTGAGCATTATCAGAAAATTCAGTTTGTAAATTGTTATATAAAGTTATTGCACGCCGATGAACTTGTGTTGATTCAGGGCGTTGTATATTTTGTGAATACCCCCTGATCTGAACTTTTTTCTATCGAGCGCCCTCAATACTTCTACTGGAAAAAAAACTTTCCTGACACCCAATCATGAATGTTTTTCTGGCCACCTCCCCGGTCCCAATATCGTCTCCTCTCTGCTGTCATGCGCATACAGTATTCAGCAATTCCGCAAACAAGAAGATAAGAGGAAGGTCTGATTGCGTTGTTTTGAGTGATGTGATTTTCACTTACGTTACAATCGCAACACATCATGCACATGATTCTTGAAGTTACCTAAAACACGAAGGTGATCATTATATAACTTCTAAAGTTGTGTCACAGCCTGTGATATTATAAGTAAATCATTCTTTGCATGCCATTTCCAGTGTTTTTTTATTTTTATTTTCATTGAAATGACAGCAGCAGCAGGCTAGCCTAGCGTGTGTGACGTCTATCTAGCCTACTTTATCTAGGCCTAGCCTAGGACCACTAGTAGTCAGGTCGCAGGCATCGTGTTTGTGTTACGTTTACCTCACCAAAAAAGGCTAGGGCCAAGGTCTAGCTTGGCCAAAGTTATATTTATACCAGGGGTGGTCATAATGGGTCGGAGGGCAGAGTGAATTTATTTAAATAACACTTACTGTAATGTTACTTAATCAAAGTGGATATGCTTACACAAGGTGTTATGCAGTAGGATAGTGAGAGTTATTTTTAAGGTTAGTGTAAAGCCAAGTCGACCAATTAGCACGTTGGGATTTCAAACACTTCAACATAAGCATAGCCACAGCCTTTTTTAATTGCGCGGATGATACCTCAAAAACCAGCTCAAATTTGCACAGAAAACTGCAAGGGAAATAAAGGCAGATTTCCACGCAGATTTTTGCTGAAAATTATGCCTTGGTCTATATCTTAATAATAATATTTTTTTGGCGATTTTCCACGCATGTTTTAGCAAGATTTTGATGCATCATCCGCGGAAGTAAAATACTTTACACAATGGCTTGCATCCATACACTCTGTTTTATGCTCAATTTTAATATTACTTTTTACAAATACAATACATGATAGATGATTGCCGCAAGGCCAAACAGTACATAAAAATAAGGGGTTTTTTAGCATAAGATGGTAGGAGGGCTGCACAATATGGGGTTTAAAAAATTTATTTGTGCGGACTGCAACAATGTTGCCTTCGTGGGGTCACAGACTGCACTTACCGTTATAGTTTGTAGCCTACCACCAATCAGTGAAAATTTTGGCCCAGAAATTGCATAATGATGGTATTAGAGATCAGAGATCCTGCAAGTGATTCAACGTTGATATTTACCATTTCATTTAAAAAATAATGTTTGTCTCCCTCTATGGTTTTCCATGCTTTGAGCAGAATTGAATTGCTATTTGATAACAGTGTTCACCCAAGAATGCTCATATCCTCATTTGCATGATTATTATAATGTAATTTTAATGCACATGTAATGTTTATATTTAGGCATAATAAATTTAGAAAAAAAATTGTCTCCTTACACATTTTTTGGGCTGCCTCATTTTCTCCTCTTTAATTAAACCACAATTAGATTTTATATGGTGTAAACTTGTATCACAAACTCAGAAATGACCTGTTATCACTATCAATATTATATATCTCAACACAAGTACAGTAGAATCCCTCATTTGTGTTTAATTAAACCACAATTAGATTTTATATGGTGTAAACTTGTATCACAAACTCAGAAATGACCTGATATCACTATCAATATTATATATCTCAACACAAGTACAGTAGAATCCCTCATTTGTGATACCCATATTAAGGGGACGTCTTCCTTAAAGGGCACACTTTTGTTTCTATGAAATGAGGGAAAGTGTATCTTAATCCCTATTCAGGGGACATCCTTGTTAAGGGGATTTTTTTTTTGTCCTGAAGGTGTCCCCTTAATAGTGGTTCTACTGTACGGCTTATTTCAACTTCTGTGTTCAAATCATTTTTTTAAAGTAAGATTATATAATAAAAATATTTTTGGATTTGTATATAGCCTGTATGGAATGTATAAACATTTAAATGGAATGTATAAACGTTTAGTAATATAATTATTTTGATATGAGAGAGCCTGCTGGAAAAGATGTGCAATCGCCCGTCGTCGGAGGCATTGTGCATGTTCAGATAACATTTGGTGCTAGAGACATTTTATACAGACAGTGGTACAAAGAAAAATTCTCCAATCCTGCCAAAGTAAAATTTTGTTATCAGCTTGTTTTGAATGAACTTTGAAATATGTATCAAAATAGCTCAAAATCGGTACTTTCTGGTTCCAAACTGCACATTATATTTTCCCTGGGAAAAACGGAAAATTTGTGATAAATTTTTTTTTCCATTTACATGTTGATGTTCTTTAGAATTGATTCCTTTAAAATTTGTCAAATTATGCAAGTCACGGAATTCAGTCACGCATATTTTTTTCTGCCTTTTTTTTTTTCGTTTCTACATCAGGATTTAATTTCCAAGTCAAACTGAAATTGAATTACATAGTTCCGTGGACAACTGTTTCTACTTTGAATTCATAAAATACAACGCCACCTGCTTTGTGTATTACACATGCTATTGAGAGACGTAAAAGAAACTACCTCTAGCCAGAAACATCAATTTTATGTTTCTTACTCTTTCCTGTGCATTCCACGTATTTTCTTGGAGAACTGCTGCGTAATTCCTCTGATTCCCCTTGGTTTTAACTTGCTGTTTTTGTGTGGCATGTTACTGGATAACATTCTGTTAATTAGTGGTAATTTATTCCGTATCCTGTTGCAATGATTTAGAATAGTTTTTTTTGCATGAGAATGTTGTTGCTGAAATCAAGCCTCCTAATAATACTATGCTAAAAAAATGTTTCCCATAATATTGATGTATGCTTTACATTTGTCACCACCTAGAACTCACTATCCTAAGTCTTGATGAGATTTATCATCGATAACACATGTTTCCTGAACTGCCCATGATTTTTTTAAAGGAAATAATCTCGAGTCTTATCTATATTTACAGGTTCATAAAAAATCTTGATCATGTGACCGTGACTCCTAGCGCGGATGACATTGAGTTGATTCAACAGATGTCGTTGCGCAATCTGAAGAACTAATTTATACTTGAAATTGGCAACTGCAATAATTATTATTGACTGCTCAGCCAGAAACCAAAAACTGAAATGAACTTTCAACGATATACTGTACTTAGAATCTAGCGTTTCTGACTCGGAACAAAGTCCATTGGCAAGGTGAGTGTGTGATACGCTAGAGGGAGTATTTTGTTAATGAACTAAAGATATACACGCTTGTAGTAATTTATAAGAACGTTGTTTTGATCTTAGACATGTGTGCTTCATTTCCGTCGCTTGAGTATACACAATTGGTTACAGGAAGAACAGTAACAAAGTTACTGTATTTGGCTAAAAAGTAATTTGCAAATGGTAATAATAACAGTATTTAAAAAAAATGTTGCACTTACTAACATTATTGACAATAACATGACAAAGTTGTTGAAAAAAAAAAATGGATAATCGTATACTGTATGAGCAAACGGATAATGGGAGAGAGATAATTGGATAAGAGATATTGGTTAAGGGACAGTGAAGCATTAATAGATAATGGGAAAATAGTATGTGAAAAAAATAGGAGGAAAACAATATTGGAATGGAAAAATGATAATGGAAAAAGGATAATGGAAAGGAGAATGAAAATGGAATAATGAGAAAGATGTGATCAAAAGGAATAGAATAGAAAGAAGATGATTGTAAAAAAATATAGGAAATGGATAAAAGCAAAGATATAATGGGATAGTTAGTGGAACAGGATAATTTTAAGTGGGTAATGGGAAAAGGTTAATGCAAAATGCATATTGGGAAAGGGATATTGGGAAACGGATATTGGGAAAATGATATTGGGAAAAGGATATTGGGATAGGGATAATGGGAAATTGATAGTGGGAAGAGGTTAATGGGAATTAATGATTAAAGGATAATGAATGGGAGGAAATAATGTAAAATGATGTAAGTGATAATGAATAAAAGGAAGAAGAAAGAATAACACAAATGGTATAATGAAGGGGATAATAAGGGAAGGATAATAAAAAAAGCCACGGACATAGGCTAGAGGAGTTCTGGGATATTTTGCAACACTCCACAAAGGCAAATTAGTTTCTTTAAGTTGGTTAAAAAAATACAAATGAACATCGAGTTTTACTTTGGATTAGGAATTTAGATCATTCTCAATTTATATTTTTGTATTGTTTTGAACCATTTGAGTAATATTTTGCCTGCATTTTTATATTGTAAACCAATGATTTTAGCCTACGGGCTGTCTGTTTTGGTGTTTTTTATTATACCGTGAATAAACAACATAAATAAAAACATGATCATCCCATGAAAGTCTGTTGTCTAATACTACTACTATAATATAGAAGGATCACTTTAAAATACTTATTGAGTACCAGTATGATTATAATCAATGGGGATATGATAAAGAATTTCTGTAAACATTATTTACTTAAAAATTTATAATTCTAGCAGCTTGGTTACCACAACCTTGGTTACTTTTTTCAACAGTTAGCCTTGAACTAGATTTCCAGTGTGAGATCTCAAATAGTTATTTTTATATTGCTTTTTTCTTTTTCAATTTAATGGTAGATGTTCATGGAGCTGTTGCTTAATGGTTAAGATGCTTGTCTTGCAATACCATGATCCTGGGTTCGAATCCTGAGACACCAGGATATTTTCTCGTGGCTAAAAACAACTTCACTCCCTAAAGCCTGGTTTCAATAACATTGCTGCACTGTTGCTATAGCAATCGCTACACTACTTAATATAGACGTTTCCCCTATTCGACCTAACCAATTAGCTGCTCCAAAAGCTGCTGGTGATGGCTCGTAGCGATTTTGTGGAAACCAGGCCTACACCTCAAAAAAAGGACTTAATTGCTTTATAGAACATTTAAGTTGCGGGGCACTTGCTAGGTAAGAATGCAAGAAGTTTATAAAATAATAATCCTGATCAATGTATAATTGTACCCTAAGTTAATTTTTGGATTGTATAGTTTTATATCTTGATAAATATGTATCTCAATAAAAATAAAATGTAAAAGTAAATGTAACATTTTACTGTCATAACAATCTCCTTAATTCAGTTACGATTTTAGATGTATTTTTTCCTTCATTCATTTAAACACAGCCTTGATAAATTTTGGTAATTTGAGTCCTGTAAGCCATTTAGTCTTTAGTGATAATTGCGTGTACCGTGTATATTTCAATAAATCCAATGATTATGTGCAATCAAAACAATAACCATATACCTGTAGGATTTACCAGTACAGCACAAAGAAAGTTAACAGTTCTAAGAATAAAAATAACAATAAAGACAATATGACCTACTTAATGTTATCCTGGATATGGTTATAAGAGACATGGGTACAAATTTGCTAAGCTCAAGTATTTTAATACTTAATAGATTGTTCAAAGAATAACAAAACTTTAATAAATAGATTGTTCAAAGAATAAGTTCCAATTAACTTTTATTTGGAGTGCAAGTCCATTAATGAGTATAAATAAGCCCACCTCCTAGTTGAGGTTCATAGCTTGATTTCAGATACTAGCTTTATATATTTATCTATATAGCTTATAGGCCCAGTAAGCCCAGGGTGTGATTGCAGTAATTCAGTACACTTCATAAGTACTACTGAAATGACAGGCTAGCTTTGAAGTTAATGCGAGTCCATACCGCCGAGGCCTACCTATCAGCATCATTAGTTGATAAGTGCTAATATTTTCAAGGATATGACACCTCTAGGTGCCTCTAAATGGTAGCTTCTGATTATTGTTGAAAGCTTCCTTCTCCAGCCAATAGCAGATCAATCTATTTCTCACGGAAGAATCTGTATCCTACATCTTTTGGCTATTATAACTTTGCCAAGGCCTAGATTATTACCGTTTGACACATCAGTGGCGTACTGCTGGCTCCTCCTGATAGGTATTTCTCAAAGTCTAATGATACATACCCGAACGTCATTTGCTAATCGTATCAAAAGAAATTCTTGTACCTGCCAACGCAAATGGAACGATCATTCTAATGTTGGTATAGTGCCACCAACAATTGGCGTTTTCATAGCTTGAAATAAAAACCAGATTAAGCTATTTTTACAAAGTTTTCATCTAAAATTTGTCAGGTATTTTCAAGTTTACCTACAAATATTCAGTGAATTTCGTAGCCAGCTCTCCAGGACTTTGTATATGTTGCTATTTGAATTACTGTACTAATATAAAGCATTGAAATATTACATTTAAAATACTAAATATTTTTAGTATTATTAAATAATTTTAACATAGTATTGTTTGAAATTATTTTTAGTATGAAGTATTAAAGTATTAAGTGGTATCAATGAAATAAAATTTGAGAACAAAGCATGCAATTTTCTGATTTCATTGATCAGGAATAGTCCATGTAGGTATAAGTGCTATTCCATTACTTGGTAGGAGGTAAACAAAAGAAAAGGCTACTGGCACTTTCATGGTTTAGTTGTATGGAATTTTCTGTGTATGCAAAAGGTCTTGGGTACAAGCCCCAATGGAACTTGATCTGTTTTTGTTTTCATTCTTTGTTAAATTCCTGTTTTTGTTAGTTTACATAATATTTATTGATTGAATTATCCAACTTGTTGTTTCTAAATTCCCATTAGTTTTAAAAATATGTGGCAAATTTATAAATAAAGGCCATTTAGATTAAACCCAAATAGTTTGATTGTTTTGTAAAATTCAACTTTCAGATGCAATTGATTAAAATAGAGGGGTAACGAGATGCGCGGTAGCAATAAAACAATTAAATGAATCGCTTCATTTGTCTTCTTGGTAGCCGAGTTTTGGCAACAACAGTCAAATTCAATTATACCTTAACTGTTGTAACATACAGATAATGAATTTATCGTTATTAATATTGATTTGTATACGTCATTAGTATTTCTAAGTAATGTGAATTAATAATCTGCAGAGCAAGCGATAACACATTGAATTGATTAGGGCCTATAGCTAAAGTGCGCACAGTTTATTTTTCCCTATTTACCGAATGTGTTTTCTGTCAGATTCTTGGCTGGATATGTCCGTTAGCGGCCTTGGACAGTTATTACATAGAAGACTGAATGGTTTTGAGCTTGTTAAGTCCAAGGATGGTAAAAGTACAAGCCAAGTTGAACTTTACTTTACTCAGCCTTGTATAATACAAGTCACAGCCAACAGTTCTAAAAATATTTCAATTTGTTAATTACTTACACTTATTCGATTTAACCGATCAAAAATATTTTGTCTGATTTTTAAAAAATTTTATCGTTCACGCTAAAGCTTTAGTGATAAATATCATCACAGTGCAATTTAGTATTGTGTTTACTCATCAGTGTTATTTCAATGAAATTAATTGCAGCAGTGAGGGTTGAATTTTATTTTTAGGTTTATATAATAAGGTTATGGATAGTAAGTAATAACAAATTAAATTAATTGGATACTCTATTTTAGTGACTGTAGAGCCAATAAACTTAATAAATATGAAATAATTCGATTGTTGTCTTTAGGCCTACTTAAGTTACATATTATTCTATTGGATACTAGCTATTTTTAATACCAATTAACACTGAATAATAAATTTCCTATTATTATTCATTGCATTATATAGGCTCATACTTCTATTGACTGAAACCAATGAAACATTTGTTTTGTTCCATTTCTTATTGGACCTTAAATATTAATAATCACTTATTTGATCCTTTAAAAAGAGCAATTTAACATTTTTACCAGAGGCTCGGATCCTTGTCAGATCACCAAAGTTAAGCAGCACTGGACCCAATTTCATAGCCAGCTATTGGGACAATTGAGATAGTCCCACACAATTTTTCTATTGGGTCCACATTATATATACAAATAATGGGTCCACATTAAAAAAAATGGGTCCAACTTAAGTTGTATGCACAAAATGAGTCTACTTTTTGGAAACGGGATCCAGAGTTTTCAAATTTTTTGTGTGAAATCAGTCCACTTTTAAGAAAATTGGTCCATAGGCCTATTATTTGAATTTACATGTAACATGGCTCCACCCTGATAGTGTCTCGCACTGTTTGACAATTCTGGCTATGGCATTGATTGGACCGTGGAAATACTTTGGAAGAGAGACTCCCTTTGGATTACTGAATACTGTTACAGTAGGGTTGATTGGTTTGATATGTACGGCAGGGCCGCTGCTAACTACAGCAGTATTACAAAAATACAAGGGGTTTTAAATCATACTCTGCACCCTGGGGGTGGGGGAGGGGAGGGAGATGTATTTAGAAACATTGTATTATTTATTATTTCTCCATATCTCTGCTTTGCAAATAGCAGATGAAATCATCATGGCTTGTGAATAGATAAAGAAGTGGTGATGTCATGGATACAAGGTTATCATATCATCATTCATATGGGATGTCTCTGCTACTGTCCTACTATAAAGTGCAAGTTATCATCTCTGCCACTACTGTACCCTAATATAAAGTACAGTTACCTTTAAGTGATGATATCCATGGCGGTCTGTGAACTAGGTTGTTGACTATTTCAAGTTTAGATGTCTGATAGTTTTTCTTTTATATTGAAGAATTTATTATTAGTACTTCAATAGATTGAGTTAACTTTTAAATATTGTGATAATATTAATAATAAATATGTAAATTATTTCTTTTTTATTATTCTTTTATTTATTGATACCATGGCTTCCTTTGAAGCAGTGCTAGTCAGTGAATGGTTTTATATTCTATATAAAAAAGCTAAAATAATAATAAGTACTGAGGATTCTTATAACATAGTTTCTGTCATGTTTTCTATTTTATTGGCATTTAAATGAGTTTTTTGTACTTAGTACACTGTACATTACATTTTTTACCATTCTGTGTGCTGTACCATTTACATTGTTCCTAGTGAATCTGTTTTCTGCAACAAGATAATAAAGTACAGAAGCCAGAATGATGTGTACTCACTGTGAAGTATTCATTTGAAGTGATTTCCTAAGAAAACATGACCATTAGTAGCAGAAAAAAGTGCTAGTCGGTGAATGGTTTTATCCTAGCTCAAATAATCATAAATACACTTTTACACTTTTTTTTTATAAGAACACTGAGGCTGAAATTGCTTAAAAATTAAGAACAAAATAAGAACAACTTGAGGCTGAGGTAATGTCAAATGATATTTTTATTTCAAAAAACTAAAATAAAATCCAAAAAATCATATCTGTACCTTATGATGGTGTGACTATGTAATACCCTCTATAATACAGTACAGTAGTACCTACCTGTCGTTTGGAGTCATTTTTACCAGGGGATTTTTTCTGGGACCTTTTTTTTAGGGGCAGTTTTTTCCGGGGCCACTTTTACCTTCCTTCCAGTACAGTGTATACTGCTGTACGATAATGATAATCTATGTTTGAAAGGTATGTAAAAATAAGAACAAAATTTCTGTAAAGTTTTCTATTTTATTGGCATTTAGATAAGGTCTTTGTAAAGTAGGCCTATTTTATTCATTAAGACCATTCTGTGTGCTGTACTGTTGTTCCTTGTGAAAACGCAGTGACGTATATCTATGAGTTCTCACTAGTTAAAGCTAAGGGCCCAGACCTTAATTTGCCCCTGAGATATTTATAGGTACTGGTATATTTAATTTTACTCCAAATCGTTTGAACATGGCCTTTAAATGAGCAGAACATCTAAAAAATATATCCTTAAAATGTCAAAAAAGCCAAAGTGGGGGCTTCCCTTGTGGCCCACTGGTCTGTACCTGGACCTAGCCCCCATGGTATTAGGGTGCTATAAAGTTAGGGCCCTAGGCCTTTTTGTTATGCCACTGGTGAAACGTACAATGTCAGAACATGATTAATTAACGCATATTGCATTAAACTCTCTCTCACTTTACATTACTATTCCCTGTCATTGGAAGAAGCACCTGTGGAAGAAATGCCTCCTCGGTTTCTAGGAGTGACACATTTCCATAAGCAGATAAAATCAGCGTTGGTATTGTATCCATGTATTGGTGGAGAGTGTCAGTGATGGATGTTATTATATGCCTTGTCCAAGGACTCGAACGAAATGCATGGTGAGAAAAACAAAAGCCCGACCTTAAGCCCAAACTACAATCTCTGGACCAACTACAGACACATCCAGTGGAAGCAGGGTGCAGTGGACGTGTGCCTTCCATTTTCCTAACTATATATTTTTTTTTATTTAAAGGCATATCATTCATGTTTTAAACAAGAAAAAAATATGCGAAATTGAAAAAGAGCTTCAATAAGCCATACCAGGATAGCTTTTATTCATAGCGTCCTGAGTTCACTATTTTTGATTTTTGTTCATCACCATAACAAATCCCACAAGATTTATAAACAGAAAAAGTTACGGAACCTTGAGTACCCTAGTAGTAATACCTCTGCTAGATAGATCTTTTTAATAATTATTATAAAAAAAAAAATTGTTGGCAACACTTGTTCTAAGTGCAAGATAAGAGATTATGCATTGTTTCCTCCATTTATATAA